TGATCTGACATGAGACAACTAAGAAAAACCCAAAATTAAAAATAAAACATATGCACATAAGGTTGTGTACACATTGGATTTGACACACTTGTGTTGAAACACCCTGAAGAGGCATCATTAGTTGGGTTTACTCAACAGGTCCAGGGGGATTAACTAACATTTTTACATCTATATAACTTTTCTATCAATTTAAAGCAGGAATTGTGTCGGATAGTTAACGCTAACCAGCTAACTAAGCAAGTCTCTGGGACAATTGACAATAGCTACTTAGCATTAGGGGATGAATTAAGGGGGTTCAGTCAATCACTTCTTCAAAACAATGGATTAAAGGTAGAATTTCCTTTCTAACCACCACCACCACCAAACTAAATAGCAGACTAATTTTAATGTCTTTTACTTTAAAAACTTAGCAGTTATCGTAGTGAGCCGTGTTGCTGGTGGTCGCCGCTCTGGAAATATGTCAAAGCTAACTTAGCTAACTTAGCTGGATGTCAGCTAACGTCGAAGCGTCTCAACTGCTAACGTTTACTTCTGCTGCGAGCTCACCCTCTTTTCTTTGCATTGACGGTCACCCGTTCCAGTTATGTCTTTCTGGTTACCATCCGGCGTTTCGTATCGACGCTGTCCGGCCTAAAAAAAATAAAAATGTAAATAGTCCCGAAATGTTGCCTGTGAGCCAAGCGGGTCAGCCAGCTAACGTTAGCCGGACCGGAGCAGACCGTGGAGCAGACTGTCTCCTCCGACACAACACTGGCTGGCACGGCGGGCTGCCTTAAAGGGGAGTGGTCGCATATTTTTGTTGTGTCGACATTAAAAGCCGCAGAGAAATGGCAAGCTGCCAAATCCACACATGCAATCTTGTTGTCTCACACATGCAGCTCCAGCGTTGCACATTGTACAATATCAAAATCATGTTAAATGCATTTTTTTTCTCCCTGCATTTAAAACTATGAGATGGCTTTTTGTGCTGCAAAGCTTCAAACTCCTCACTTGCAGATTGTGGCAAACAGCTGAAACATCTCTTGCATTTATTTTTTGTAGTATTAGCATTTTTAGATTCCGAGGTCATCATCTGTAAAAGCTGGAACTTTTGGGTGCTTGGAAGTTTCTGTCTTCTCCATTTCTGCTGGCATCAGTCGACTTGGAATTATTTCCTCCATGACAGCCAAACATGTTACAGGAACTCTCAGAAACTTGTGAAACAAAAACTAGGCTTTGAAAACACTTAGTGCTAAGTGACTCTGAAAGACTCACTATGAATGAACTGAAAACACTTGCTGGCTAATAATCATTAAATGTCTCGTCTCCAAATATAAAAAAAGACTTTGAGTTGTAATGGTTGTGGCAACGTTCCGCTTATGTATTTCCCTGTGACGGTGTGCAAACAGTGCATTCACCTTAACTGTGGCGTCTAACTTGAGCTACAGCTGCTTCCAGTATTTCATGCAGTGTCAGGAATGTTGAAATACTTTGCATAGGAAGTGCAAAATAGCATAAAGTGAAAATACTTGTACCTCAAAAGTGTACTTATTATTATTTGAGAAAATGCAAGTTATTCGGTACTGATCAATACATTTTGCATGTGCAGCACAAACACTATCACAGGAAAACCAAACATTTAGTGTCTAAAAAAGGCCACAATTGCATTAATGTTAAGAAAACACCCTTGGAAATGCTTTTACATAAGCTCAAGTACTCAGATTAGTTTGTATTTAACACATGCTTATACTCTTGCTTTTTTGATCTAAAAATGTCCTCTTCTTTAGAGGAACACGAATATGAGCATCGCAAAAATCACACTGTTAGACGTAAGAAAAATGTCATCAAAACATGTCAGGTGCAAAGGAGTAAACAGATTTTAATAAACACTAAAATATACAGCGGACACTTTCACAGGGCAGATTTGCCTCATAGATTCAAACATATTTTTCAAGGTTAAAGTCTCAAGAAAAACAGGTTTATTTTTCAGTGGATCTTCTAAAATTGTTCTTGTTTTACTGGATTTGGGCTGCTGACAATAGGATCTCTGCTAACAACCACCCACCAACACCCACTAACTGGTTCATACAGGATTTCATTTTCTGTACAATATTACAGAAAGACCCATATCATTATGTTCCTTTCTGCACCACTTATATAATTGCGTGTCAGTCACTCATGTCATCTTCTCCTCATTCGCTGTCATTGCTGTCACTGTCTGAATACGCCCCCAGCAGGCTGAGAGATGACGAGCCGTTCTGTGTGGCGACGGGTTTAGACGCATTAGTGGAGTTGGCCGTCGGTGCCTTTGAATCTGTAAAGCAAGATAAACAATGAGTTCTGAATCAAAAGCAAACTTTTGATTAAAGAACAAGCAGGACTATTAAATATCAAACACAAATAAAGGATATAATACCTCAGACTTCAAAAATCACTAATAAACTGTAAGAGATGTGTTACCTGACTGAGAGGTGGGAGCAGCAGTCGTCACCACTGGACTGGGTTTGCTGACCGTCACTGCAGTTTTCTTTCGTACGACCAGGGAGCCGAGCGCTCCTTTACTGCCCAGCGTCCCGACACTCCTCTCCCAGCTCTCCGTCTTGGCTCTCTTCACTCCTGCAGCTGAGGCTCCCTGTAGAAAAACAGCATGAGACAATCTACTATTTCCTGCTCACAACATGGCTTCTGTTTAGTTTTTTAGTATCTGCCAGAGTACAGGGAAGCTTTTAGAAACCTGTTCAGTGTTTTTCAGCAATCACCACTCATTGTATTTATGTTGTTAGTGGTGAACTCTGCCACTCTCACATGAAACTTAGATTTCCTTGGATTTATAGAGGGGATAAATGCATTATGACAAACAAAACAAAACAAATAAAACATTGTTACACATGGAAAACATGTTGGCTATAGGATCTTCAACATGTCATCGGAGTTTCCCTCATCTCTGTCCAAGAACTTTTCCAGAGCCGCTGCAGGAGCAGGACACTGAACATTGTCACAGACTCCTCACACCCGCTCCATAAACTGTTTGAACTGCTGCCATCAGACAAACATTTTCGGAGCATTAAAGGAAGAACCTCCAGAATGAGCAACAGCTTCATTCCAGAAGCTGTCAGATGCTGAACTGCTGATCCAGATATGCAAACACTTGTTTATTTAAATTGCTTTAAGTTATTGGTTCCTGTAGAAACACTCTCTCTCATCTTGCCTGTACCACTGTGTATGTACAGCAAAATGACAATAAACTTGACTTGATTTGATTTGATAATTTGATGTCCGAATAGAAATTAAAACTGGATTCAGTTTAGAAGACATAATCTGCTCTTGGCAGTATATTTGGGCTGCTGTTCTTCATTTGAAACTCTGTAATAAGAGACAACAATGAGTTTCTTTTGGGAGAAACTTGGCACCGGATTTGAAAGTCAGTGTCATTAAAACTGTCAGTGTGTTTGTGACAAGGACAGTTCTGTATTTAAGGGGATAAAAGTGGTGAATGTGGTCGACCACAGTTGCCAAAACCTCTAACAACCCTAGCTATAATGTATAATAATGTGTTTTTCTGATCCCACCCCACATTCAAAGGGTTACCTGGCCACAAAAATACCAAAATGAGCTTGGCCTTAGCACACTGGACAGGCTACACCTGGCTGTCAGGTTGGCAGATACGTGAAAACAGAGTCCTGCATACTTATCACAAAGTTTAGGGCTAATGCCAAAAGATATTTGCCAAAAAAAAAACTACAAAACAATACATAGTCCTTTTTTTAAGTCTGTGTAGTTTTGAAAGCGGATGATTTTTAAATATTGCAGGGATTACAGGAACAAAAAGGCACAGCCACAGTTAGAAGAAGAGTTGGAAGTGACAGGACTGAAATCTTAAGGATTATGATCAAAGAACCTTGACAAATATTAGACATTTGAACCCAATCACTCCTGAATGTGAGTGGTTATACACACCTGTGCCTCAGGTGGTTTGTCAGTAGTGAGGATGTCTGTTGGTTTGTCTGAGCTGGACGTCATTGATTGTGCGCTGCTGCTCTCCTCTTCGCTTTCTGAATCAGAGTCGGAGTCTCTGAGTCTTTTCACAAGGGCTCGGTCCAACATCTCTCTGTGAAACAAGCCACACTAATTTATTGACTATTCCTCAGAATTTACACAGATTATTAGAACATGTAAAAAACAACATTTGAGCACACAGGCAAAAGTCACAGTTAACATTTATTTATGCAATAATCTATCTAAGCACTAACTTAATTGTGCAGCAGACGTGACATAATACAGTTTAACCATTGTGTCATTTTTTTTTTTTTTGCAAAACGTTCACACTTACTTTGTTTCACGTTCATCTTCTTCTTTCTCTCTTTCCTTCTCTCTTTTCTCAAGCTCTCTGTACTGGCTGATCATTCCCTCGTAGTCCACCTGAGCCTGCCTCTGGTTCAGCTCCTTCAGCTCCTGGAGGTTCTCCAGAACCTCCATCTCCATCTTGGAATCCTTTGTGCGGTTCTCCAACACCTGGTTGAGGTTTAGACAACCATTAATGCTTCATTCCTAGTGAGAATTTAACTAAAAAAGAAACCAGTAAATTACTTAAACACTGACCTTCATGGGGTTGTTGAGTTCCTCTTCTTCCCTCTCCTCTTGGATTCTCTTCTCCTCTTCCTCAATAAGTTTCTCTGCCTGGAAGTTTCGCGTTGCACCATGCTCCATTGCATAGTCTGTGTTCTCTGGGTCAGTCTATAAAATCAACAACAGATAATAAAGTGTGAGAAATTTTTCTATAACACTAGAGATGTCTCCGCCAGAAAACCACACAAACACAGTAACAGCATCACACAATTCTGTGATAGTCAAAGCATTCACACTCACCTTAAATGTAATCTCAGCAAGACACCGAGTACATTTGATGTAGAAACGGAAGATTGGCAGTCCCATGTACAACTCATTCTGAACAGTCTCTTTACGTGCATTGAACTTCTTTCCCTTGTAGATGTACTCGCCACATGTTTTACACCTGCAAATGAACAGAGAAGCAATGATGACGACACCAAAGCTACAGAACTCATTTACAGAGGCAGAAAATTATCTGTCACCAAGAACCAGCCCCAGTTCTATTATACAAATAAGCAAAATGTAAGAAACTAAATTTTCCTTCACATGAAACAAACCAAACAAGACCTGGATATATTAATTCAAACACCCAATACTATCTGAAAAAGCAGCAATGAGACCAGACAGATTAATCTTTCAACATCTTGGGACCGTTTCAGAAATCAATCTTCTCATTTTAACACATTATCTCTTTGGCTAAATCAAACTCAACCTGAAATTAGTCACGATCGCCATTTAAAAAGAGAGTTTCACCTGAGCCTTGCTTTCACAGACAACGCAAAAAATACAAAGACAGCATTATGAGTTTAGAGAGGATGACTTTGTATGAAGCATCTCATCCATGCATACCTCGTAACATTTCCATATCACTTTCATCTAAGCTCATCTAATCTGCAGCACCACATTAACAAATATGACAAGTATGTAAAGGCAATGGTATTTTGAGTTGTGTGTAGTGATTTAGGGAATACGTTTGCCACATTTCAGCACCAATATTCATCCAAAAACATCACTGAAAGCAAAAGTCCGTGTGCCGAATCACAACCCGCCTTCCTCACTCACTTTGCTTGACAACTTCAAATCTATTAGGCCACAAAATGAAATAGCCGCAAGAAAATTTCACTGGGACAAAAGTGGAAACTAACAGATTTTTAAGCCTCACAAATAGTGATGTCATGTTTGATATTATGCACTATACATCACTTGATGTATGTGTATCATGTCTCGCGTGATTGACAACTATCGCGTTCTTACCGCGGCTCTCTCCGGCAATTCGGCCGTGAGGAACATTAACGGAGTGAATGAATGAGCATATGGATGACTAGAATGCCGTCACTTTAACGGATGAATATATGAAGCAAGCAATGTTCCACGTCCCATCTCTGAAAATGGCTACTGTCAGACACTGGTGAGACAAACATACCTCATATTGAATGGAGCCATCAATCTGACCACATACTGACGATCTTTGGGGAGTTTAAGCTTGGGGATTTTGGACGGATCGAAATCCGGAGGGTAGTATTTCTGTGGAGAGTAAAGCACGTGAAGTCGGCAACTGTAAGCAAAGCTAGCAGTAACGTAGAAGCACGTAAACAATACAGTTTGTAAGATTTGAAGCTAACATAAGTATTTTCTGTAAGTCCAGTATGATTGATAATATCAAAGCTATTAGCTAAGCAACATTACAAACTGTTAGAAACACCTCAGTTAGCTACAATGCTAACGTTAGCTTACTTAGTTACTTCAGCGCATACGCTGTGGGTAACTATTTTAAATTAAACCAACATTAAATTGGTCGTTCGTAGACTTACATTCAAGACTTTTCTTTCAGACATTGTTGCTTTGGCTAGAAAGGCGCCGCAGAGAAAGAAACGTTGGAAGAAACCGACTAAGCTAATCCAAAACACTGCTGCTAGTACGTTGCAGTGTAAACTTCCGGGTGCAACACTTATTAGTTTCCGTCTGTCAAACCGTGCTGCTGCCCCCGAGCGGAAAACGTTAGTTCCTACAACAACATTTTCTGTGAAGGCGTATAAGATGAAGGAGAAGAGCAAACGCTCAGCCAGAGGGAAATATAGGCTATAAAAACACAACTAAGTGTTGGTAAAAGTGAAGATTAATGAAATGAAGAACTTCTTAAACAAATACATTATCATCTATTTATCAACGTTTAGGCCATTTGAACTATCTGTTTGCCTTCATGTAATATGCATATGGAAATATGTAATCAATCAGTAAAAACAAAAAAACACAAGGTTAAAAAACATTGTTTGTGTGTGTGTGTGTGTGTGTTTTTAAAATACATCTTGACTGAACTATTATTTTAGGTTATAGTGCCTGCTTAGGATCTTATTGTCTAATTTGACGTTTGTTTTCTTTTAAAATACTTTGCAGCTTTGTTTTTTTTAAATGTGCTAGATGAAAAAAAAGTTATCATTATCCTTATTAGACAAAATATGATGAACAGAAATTGTATGAGATTCAGGCAATTATGATACATCGATGGGCCTCTGACACACAATGGACAGAGCAAAGAATTTTCTTAAAGTAAATGTATTCTGTGACATTTCTGTTGCTCTCAAGACCAGCTCTGTTTGTTTGTAATTCCCGTGTAGTGTAATAAACTGACAAGTGGACTGCAGATCACTGCCTCTGCTCATTTTCCTCTTCTCAAGTGTATTAGAAACATTTTGAATTATTCAGTGAATGTGGTGGTCATAAAAATTCTGCATCACAGTTGATATTCTGGAGGATGATAAACAAAAACCGGCTTAATATTCATAAACAACCGCCTGTACGTGAGCTGCTGGTGAGATAATTTGTAAGTAAAAACAGACTCTTTGACTTGTGTTTTAAGTATTAAAGTTTGTATTTTTGTTTGAGAGTGTGACAAAATAATACTATAGCAATCCCATTTAACAATATGTTATAAATTAGACTAAAGTAACAATATATGCACATGAAAGAGGTAAATAATGAAGTAACCCAAAGCCAGGAACAGTACTAGTTTAGAATATGATTAGAATACTGCAGTACACACTGTGTGTTGCTGACAAAAGATAAACCAAAGCAGTACGTGCTATGAGATCCCAAACTAGGGAGGGATTATTAAAATGTGCTGCAGCTACAGCATGTTTTAGGTCAGGACTGCCTCTCCTTACTGAGTAAGTGTAAACCAATAACAGGCTCACGAGAGAAGTAAAGAAGCTGGATCTCATCAGGAAAGTGCTCGAGTCACCATGGAAATCATTTTAGGGAATGACAATCTGCATTTGCAGTGAGGTATTGATCATTTTATGGTTGGTCATTAGGGGTGAAAAAGAATCACCACTCTCAAGACAAGGGGTTGAAGTAAAATGACTGTCAGTATTTATATTCTTCTTATCACACTACCTATGGAGGGGCTGGTTCTCTCTGTTCTAGATGATTTGCAGTACCTTGCATAGGACTGTATCACTCTTTTTTCCCTCTTATCCATCATAGGAGTGAAGCTCTCTGTGGCGTGAGTGTAACTTCCTGCATCAGCAGCGTCTCCCTCTAAGAACTCACATTCTCACAGACTATTAGCCGCCTGGAGAAACAGAAAAACAATCCTCAGGATTTTTCCATCAATCATTTTAAAATGTTAGCCCCTTGAAACCTGGTGTCTGTAATGTGAATTATATATCATCCAATTCAGGTAAAAATCTATTTTTCCATCCTTGGTAATAACATCTAATACTGTGAATAGATTAAATATCCACAGACAGTCTATTATTTTGTAACTGCTGTGCAAAATTCCAGCTTCACTCTGGGTCATTTTCTGCACATTAAACACAATGAAAAGTGAACATTTTCCTCTTTTTTAATTTTGCTACATGCATTATGTTGCAACTGTTTTACATGTTTAGATTCACATCCAGCTTGTTCCTAAATGCAATCTGCAGCAGCTATTCCAAACATATAACTGAAGCATACAGAATTGTTTTCAGCGAGAAGCAGAAGAAGGAGAGCTGCAACAGATGGTAAACCTCCACGCAGCACTGATCTCAGGAGCCTCTGAGATCACAGAAGCCTTGTGGCGAATTTTCCAAGACATCTGGAACAAGCTACCTGCCAAGTAGCTTGAAAAGCTGATGACAACTGGTGCTGTTTTAAAGACAAGTCAGTTTATTGTATTCTTTTCTTATGATCAGTAATGACACTATGCATCTGTCATGTCAGTGTCGTATACTGTTTTTCAGTTTTAGTGTATGAATGTGTTAAAATAATACATTAAAAAACACACTTTTTAACTATATTTTCCCATTGCATTAATCCAACCTGAATGAGCCATAAGCCTTAGATGTATTGACCGCTGCCCTGTTTTTAATCTGTCATTTTCAGGAGACAGAGGAGGAGATCACGACCTGCGGGGAGGATGAACGGCCTCTCAGGGTGATAGATCGGTGATGTGGGATCTCTGACATGTTTAAACAGAAGCCCGGCAGCCACACGCGTGTACCTTTGAGGGTGAGGGTTATTCCTACAAAAGGAAATTGGATCTTGATAACAGATTGGTGTCAGCGTGGGTTAACCTGAGGGCTGACTTGGGCTTTATTGAACAGCAGCGACATAAGAAGATGGGCAGAGTAGACCAGCACACATAAAAAAAACATGGTTCATAAGTGAATTTTATTTCATATTTCAGACAAACAGTGCAATTATTTTGTCATCTGGATTTGACAGATTCAGAGTTTTTGTTCAGTGAGGCTTTTATGTATTTGTGGTGACTGATTGTGACACATCAAGCCGACTCATCAGTGACTCACATGTATGTTTGAGTGAAAAGACTCAATGTGCAAACAATAAGGCATACATTAGGATTAAAAAAAGGCCCTTTTGGTGAGAATTCACTGGGATCTGTGGCCCAACTGGAACAAAAAACACTCAAGGAAAAGAGTTGGATTTCTACTCAGCCTATAGATTACTTCAACAAATGTGTTTTATCAAATATAACTCCACCTTTAACCATCAACCTTCAACCTTCCTGTTAAAGACACACAAGGTGCTGACCAGTCAAAGCTCCCATGAATATTTCAGAGGCTGGCTGATGTCAACAGCGCCTATAAAGACAGCTTGTTTTTGGACAGGAGACCCCCAAAGCCGCCACACGTCCAGGAAGCTTTTTTTCCCCCCCAGAAGAAGAGAAGGACTCGTCCTGTTCAGGCACCATGGTCAGCGCACGGACTCTCCTCCTCGCCGTCACCTGCTGCTGCGCGTCCCTGTGGCTCGTTCGCGCAGAGGACTCCTCACTGGAGACGCGCTCGTTGGATTTCCCCCTAAAAAATCAGCAAGAGAAAGACCTGGTGAGAGGTTTTATGTAGCTGTATGGTTGGAAAAGTTATCCTTGTTCTAAGCCACAATCAGTGGAGATTTTACAGTAATACTGTTGCCAGAACTTTAAGTAGCTACATGGATAGTTTGTCTCCAAAACAGACTCGTTTTGTCTATTTTTACCTGCTTAACTTCTCGCATTTGTTTTTCTGTGCAGATTGACGCGCTGCAAGAAGTTCTGGAGAAGCTGAGGAGCAAAGAGATGCCCTTAGAGAAAAAGCTGGGCTGGCTGCCTTCGGTAAGTAAACCAAATAAGAAATACTGTGTTTCTGACAACACTTCAGGACGAATTTATCAACACACAAAAAAGTGACATAAACGACAAGTATCTGTAAAATAATGTAAACATTTTTTTTGTAGAATATTAAAACTGTAATTTTACAGGCATATATTGTAAAATTACAGATTTCTGATGTGGATGTTATGTACAGTTTTTGTGTCTGTGATTTATTTATTTTTCATTTTTTACAGTCAACATGCAAATATATGATTAAAAAACTGTTTTACTAATTTTATTAAATATTACTATATCTGTAATTTAACAAGGGAACACATTTTATTTCAAATAAAGGCAAACATCTGTAAAACAATATGTTTTTTCTGATTTTAATGCAGTAAAAATAGTGTAATTTACAGTCACACATTTTAAAGGAAGGAATTACCGTTTCTAAAAATACCAAGTTTTGATGTGAACATTATTTACAGCTTCTGAATGTTTATACAGTTAAATTAAGGTAAATCAATACTTCTTTGTGATTTTACTAATTATTATCTGTAATTTCACTAAACATGGAAAATCTGTAAAATAGGAGCAAATTGTTATAAGAAAAGTAAAATTCAGTTAAATGGTAAAATTTCATTTTTTTGCAATGAAGAAATGAAGTGTCTCTAATTTTGCTAATATACATAACATACAGACACTTTTTAGTGATGTTCTCTGTGGTTCAAAACCCTGTAATTACCTTTTAGGATTTTATTTGTATTTAGTCTTTTGGTAAGTTTTGTCTGTATGACTTTGCAGTGTAATGATAATTTAATGTTATCTTTTCAGTGTGACGCAGGGGAACCGTGCGCCGTGCGTAAAGGTGCGCGTATCGGCACCCTGTGCAGCTGTCCTCGAGGGACTTCCTGTAACTTCTATGTTCTCAAATGTTTGTAAAGGAGAGAAAAAAAAAAGGCAATAGAAGTGGAAGAAATGACACCGGAGTTTGAAGTGGTAAAAAATGATGAATGTGAAACATGACAGGGAGGCCTGCTACTGTTGTTGTCTCTGTAGAAAAAAAAACTAAAATACGATGTAAAATGTGACATTTTTCTTTTAACCTCGACTGTTCTGAATGTTCTCTGTTCATGTCACGGGAGGAGTGATATGGGTGGGATTGTGGCTACTTGTACTTTCTGAATGTAGTTTTGATCTTAAATGCTGTTTTTTTTTTCAGTTTGTTGTTGTTGTTTCTGTTTATGGAAAAGATTTATTTGTAAGATGAAAAGGTCAATAAATGAGTCTAACTTTTAAACCCTGTTCTGTGTCCACAACTGTTACAAAGGTTGGTTTAATAATTTATTAGACATGCATCACCAACGAGCAGCTGGATTTCATTTTTTCATAAACATCACTTGTTGGTAATTCGCTTTGATTAAATTTCTCCTCCAGACTTAAGGGAGGACGATTAATAAAAATATTTATCGATCCCTTCGCCACGTGTCATCAATAATTCAGCCTCATCTTATACATCCTCTGATGCACGACTGCATTCCAGCGCAGCAGCTGTCATCTCCCTGTAATATCAGAGGCGCTGTCAGCCTTTTTTTTTTTTTTTTCTTTTTTTCTTTTTGTCAATGACATCACATCCAAGCGCAAGTTTTCCAACATGGCGTCCAGCCGGGTGCTGGAGAGGGAGGTCCAGGAGGAGCCGAGGCGCGCTGCGACCGCAAACCTCGACTTCTGCCTCCACAAATACTCCCTGCTCATCATTATCGGACGGACGGCTCGCCTCAGACAGACGGACCACATCAGCAGGGACATTGAACGAGGTAGGGTTTCTTTATTTTATTATCTCCACCCAGTTCTTCCAGCTATGCCATTTTTCCAATTTATAAAAACAAAAAAATCAGATGTCTGCAAGTTCTCGTCGCTGAAATAATCAGAGGGGGGCTGGTACACTGACCACATTGCAGTGTTTATGTAATTTTCTCACATCCACCCTACTGACCGAGGATGCGTCATCTGGCGATGCTCCACCACCATCAGCACCACCTCGTCCCTCCGGGCACATTGTAATTAAAAGCAGTCTGGAGCTGCCGGTTTGTCTTTGTGCCTCGGTTTGTCGTTACGTAAGCTTTTGTGGGAATGTTGCAGGAGGTGTTCAGTCAACACACAGACACTTGTGAGCGATGGTCCATTAACCTTTGTGCGTTTCTGTGCAGCAGTCACTGTGCGTACAGAGACACTGTAGGTAGTAGACAGTGCATGGCCACAATGATCCGTCACACTCTGTGTTGTACTGCTGTGCTGGCTGTAGATGTAAATAAGGAAGGTGCATTGAAGTGCATGTAATTCATGCAAAGCAGGTCAGATAGGGAAATTAAAGCAGGGGTGCAAAGATAGATAGCAGAAAAACAAATGAAGACAGAAAGGTGTTTAGCAGTACAGCTAACTGGGCCAATTAACATTTCATTACTGTCTGCTGAAAGCCTCCAAAATGTCATCAAGTTTTCATGAGCAGAGAAAAACACGCCTGTTTTCAGCTTTTTGGCAGTGCATTTTTTATGAAAGCTCATATGTGTTTGCAATTAAACATTTATTTTCATGATCAGTTTGTTATTTTTTTTGATAGTTTTGTCTACAAAATGTCAGACAAATGCATCTTCAACTCCCCTTCATCGTCCAAACCCAAAAAATGTTCAGTTTGTTTTAGTGTGTGTGAAGGAAAAACATCAAATCATCTCATCTGAGCAGGTAAAACAGCAACTATTTGCCAAATTGATCATTAATGGACTCATTTAATCGTCTTGTAGATTTAATCCCATGATTCATTTACCTTAAAAAGTGCATAAAGTGTCCTTTCAACCCATGAAAGAGCGCCTGATCCTTTGGTTATATCTGAGTTCGATTTGCTTTTTTAGTTTGCATGCATTATATCATGTGTTTGGTGCAAAATTACCCAACGTACATACACACCAAGAACATACTGAGCCCATATTTACACAAAAAAGGTTGATAAACTATTTTTTTCATCACAATAGAAGAACCTCTTTAAGTGGAGGGCTTTTTAGAATTTTGAAATGGTCATAGTATGTTTATAAGGTTAACTTTTAGGCAGCAAATAGTGTGTAAAGCAGCTAAAACTACAGGCAACAGACTGCTTACAGATGTATTAGGGTGTGTTATAATAGAAGCCACAGTGTTTGTACCACATGATCTGTATGTGCAAAAAATGAAGAAGAAAAAAAGAGTTAAGCACATGTATTCTGTTGTTTAAGATGCACTCTATTGATTCTTCACTGGATAAATTTACATGTTACAGCAGCTGGATATAGATTAGGAACAAAAGAAGCAGGACATGAATGACAATAGTACAGTAAAGCTCAGAATAAACAATAAAGGTCTCATAAACACAATATGCAATTTACGTATGGACATGTACAGCTTAATGAGTGTTACAGAATACAGGAAGCTTTTATTGCCAAGTGAGCTCGAACACACAAGGAGTCTGACATGGTGAATGAAACTGTGGTGCTCAACAACAAGAAGAAGACGGGCAATAAATATAGAAATCTAAATCTACAAAATTCTAAATAAAATATTATATGTAAAGTATAAAAGTACTATGTAAATAAAAGGTGCTGTGTAAGGGAGTGTTACCAACAGTGATGACATTTGTGCGTTACAACCTTTACATATTTTTTTAGTTTGGGATGTGGGTTGTTTACGACGTTGCACTTTATTTGACATCATGCACCTTCATGCCGTCAGGTATTCGGTCATGGGACGTGGACTTAAAATCCTGTAACCTGAACCTGTACCTACAAGAGTTCCTCTCCCACCACACAGCGTCCTTTAAAGGTGCGGGTAAGAAATTCTTACATTAATTTATCCTCTCAACACTCACCGGTCCGAATATGAGCCGTGCAAAAACTGTATTTCTAATGGTTTTGGCCCCCAACAATGCATCGTTTCACAGAACAAAGCGTGATGATTCAGCTTCTTACTTAGTTCCTTTGACGCTGGTTTCTTACCTTCTCTGTCATACTTGTTGAATGGCTGTGTGCCGCAGACTACTTTCACTGTTTTCACCGAGCTTTCAGTCTTTTTTTTTAGTAAAAATGGGGGTGAATGTTAAGAGGATACATGATCCTTCTTGCCCCAAACTCTTTGACCCCTCAGAAAGCCCCCATCTCCATGGTAACACTCCACCTCAGCCCAGAGGAAGGAAGGAAGGAAAGTGGAGGAGCAGTTAGAGTAACAAGGGTGGGACCTCAGGACAGAAAACAATAGAAACCTGCAGCCGAGTGGTGCCACCTCTCTTTCTGTCTCTAGATCCTTTTAGTATGCAGAAGGCAACTGAACAAAATGGTAGAAAAACAGGCAGACAAACATCAGTGTCAGTCAGTCGTGTTACAGCCGAGCTGTGGGGTGATGAACACAGTCAGGGAGCAGACATTTCTCTTTCAAACGAGGACAAAGTGGCACACAGAAAGGTTGCCTGTTCTGGTAAATACTGCAGTGAAAGCTGTTCTTAATAAGAGCTTACGTGTTATTTTGGCTGTCAAGGTTTTCCAAAATGGAGGGATTTGACATTTTCTGTGAGATGGAGAGTGCAGTGATGGGGATGCATTTTGGGAAATGCATTTTTTCACATTGCTGCCAAAAGTTAGATGAAAAGATCGATATCGCCGTCATGCCTTCACAGTGAATATGCAGCTGAAACCAGCAGCTGGTTAACCGAGCTCGACACAAAGCCCCAAAGCAGAGAGAATAGTTGTCTTGGGTGTGACAAAATACACCCAACGTTATCTGTCAAGCTCACTATTTGCATTCTTTTTATTCAAATTGTTCAAACGGCACATTGAGTTTTCACTCCAGGAAGTCACTGCTCCCGGCCTAGAAATAGACCGGAACAGGCGTCGATGGATTATTGGCCCGGTTGAATATCAAATCCAATAGTCAGCATTTGTCCAAGCATCGGTATTGTTATTTTTACAATAAAAGAAGAAAAGATTCCTGAAATAACAAATGAATTTCTAAACTATGTGTGCAGTAACAGACTGTCAATGCTGACGGATGGATCTTGAAAACTCCTTTAATAAAACATGTATAAATGTAACACACAGCAAAGCTTTGTGTTGGAGTCATTTGAAAATTTGACACCAAAATTTTGCTGCAAATATAAATCCAATCCAAATATCTGCTATCCGTCTCCTAAATGAGTAATAGTTGTTATCAACTTTTAGAAAATCAAATGGCCGCTTGTCTGGCATATCAGTCTCCATAAAAATGTCCCTTTACTTTGTGTTAAGATTAAACAATGAAAATACCAAATTGTGAGCTTTTGAGGTACCAAAAGACTGATTGTGTCACCTTAACAAAGAGGTCAGTTGTTCTGCTCATTCCAGTCTTAATGCTAAGTTAATGCTAATGCTAAGCTTCATGTTTAATGTAATGAAATTAGAGGGATACTGATGGAAAAGGAAAGGAATCAGCATATTCTCCAAAATGCTGAACTGTATCTATAAACGTAGAATCACAGTGTGCACATTTCAGCTTGTGCATACCATCACATCACAAGACACAAAGGGAAAGATGTAATTCACTGAAATATCCAGTTGGAAGAATGGCTGCTTGTTTGCCTTTGTTTACATGGGGACAAAGAAACTTTTCTTCATATTTGGGTCATTATTTTCTGGTCGGCTGTCTGTCTCTGTATCCTCGGACATTCATGCACTTCCCCTCAGACTGGATTTCCTTTGCAGATTGAGCAAACTTGGCATCTCGTCTTCAGACAGTCTAACCGACTCAGCTGTTCCACTCTTCTTCCTTCCTCTTCTCCGCTCAGTGAGTCTATAAGCCGTCCGGTTATCCCAGTTCACTTTCGCATTCGGCTCCCTTCCCGGTCGCTCGGGGCTCCTCGGATCTGTCGGCTTGTTTCACTCAGCTCTGACTTTCCACATCTCCTGTTCCTGCTTCCCTTTGGATGTCTGTCCTTCTCTTCCTCTCTATTGTTTTCTTCTCTCTCTCTCTGTCTCTGCGTCTTCAGGGCAGAAGTGTCTGCGCCACTGTACCAGAGTGTTGGACACTCAGGTGCTGATCAGTCCATCTCAGGAACAGGTTCACTCAGAGGTAAAGGGGATAAAAGACGTGTAAAGGGGTTACAGTGAAGCAGTGGTGTGATTATTTGAGTTTTGTTTTATCTTTCAGAAAGTGTTTAGTGATAAAAAAATCAACTAAATTTCAGGTTTTGTTCTAAAACTGAGCTGGAAATGTTATTTAAGAATATTTTAAAGCAGTTTGAACAGGGATTTGACAGACTAACATGATTTTCACATGGCTGCAGATAATGTTATTTAAAAAAATGAAGTGTTTTCATGTGATTCATATGAAGTCTGCAATTTATGTTCCTCACAAAATAGTGAAACTTACCCATCACAATTTTCCATAATGTCTTCAAAGGACTTGTTTTGTCCAAACAAAAGGCCAAAACTGTAAGATAATGAATTCACAATTACATAAAACAGCCCAGCTCGATGGTTTTTGGTTCTAAAAATGTTGAGAAACTTCTGCACAGCTCTAGTTATGTTTTCACTGTGAAGTTTCGTTTTTGTTCTAAAAGTGTTGAGAAACTTCTGCAAAGTTCCAACAATGGTTTCATTTTTGTTGAAGTTTCGCTTTTTGTTCCCATGATGTTCTTCTTAAAGGGAATGTTCTTCAAACATTTTTTGAATGTAGCATTGAGAAAGCCCTTCCTTTGTCCTCGTGTAACATTTTGGGAACATTTTATTGAAGAACTTCCTCAACCTCCCCAAAACATCCAGAGAACATTGCAGGCAAAATGTTCTATATTTGTTAATGTGTTACATTGCAGGAGCGTTTTCTTAAACACATTCTGTCATCAGAGGCCTTTAGAGGATTTAGAAAACATTTTTTGAATGTTTTTTTTTTTCTTATCATGTAACATAATCTGACAACATTCTCCAAACATTCTCTAAAACATGTTATTTAACTTTTAAGCTCACAGGAACATTACTTCAAATGATAAATATCCTTAATACGTTCCTGGAACATTAGATCAAAACATTTTTTACAAACATTATTAGAACTCACAGGTAATGTTTGCCAATGTTGTGGAAACATTCCCTGTCTTTTTTTTTTTACTCTTTAATGAGTCCTGCCTTACTCCTACATTTTTCTCTCTTCAGTGATATTTATTTAATTCTTCTGTACTGCTCGTCCGTTAACGACTGATTTTTTTCCCGCCCTGGTCAGGTGTTCGCTCTGCTGTCCAGGGAATCGGCTCACAAGCTGTTGATCTTGGCGGGTCTGAGTGAAGAAGAAAGTGGAGACCTGCTCTTTCACAAAGGACTGTTTTCACCACACCAGCTCAAACAAATCATTACAGAGCAGGTACAATGTCTCCCTCTGGTTTTTATCGCCTTGTCTGTGTTTGTATGGAGTATTAAATCACTTATGAAGGAATGCTCAAACTTAAAGATGTGGACCTGAATGCACAAACTTAAGCTAAGAAGAAGAGAAGAACACCTGCGTAGCTGAATGACCTGAATGTAGAACCAGTATCACGACAGAACTGTGTTTCAGCACAATCACAACTATAAATCTCAGTTTTCAAGCTGACAGAACCAACGTTGCAGGAATAAAAACTCTAATATGAACACACAGATTTAGAGCAGTGATTGATCTTTACTTTTTTCTCTAGATTTTTTTTGATTATTTTCTTGATTATTTGTTTGGTTTAAAGTGTAAAAATTTCCCAATTTAGGGGTCAGTTTGCTCGCTTTGGTTGACTTACTTCACAAAACCCCAAATCTCTTCAATTTATTAATATATAAAATAGAGAAAAACACCAAATCCTCACAATTGTGAAGCAAGAACCAATAAATATTCGGTAGTTTGTCTTGAAAATGTACTGTTGGCAGTTAGCTGGTTCTTTTTCCAATGCCCAACGTTTTTACATAAACACAACATTTGTAACATTTTCAGTAAGGATTCCTTAAATCCAGCTACCAAAGAGCTGAGGGGACATTTCAACAATAGTTTTCACTTCCTCGTTGATGAAAAATAAAGTTGCAAATGTTTGACTTTCCTGTAAAGATTGCGAAACATTTTTTCTTTTAAATTAACAACAACAAACCCCCCCCCCTACAAATATATGCTGAGAAACTTCTCTTTCTTCAGTTTCTAGATCAAGAAAGCTCTGCCTCCTCCAAGATCAACCTGACCCTCAGCTGCCCGAACATTGGCCAGTGGAGGAAGACTCTCTTGGGGAACCAGCCCCTGCAGGGTCCCTTAACTCTCCACATTAATCCCCCAGAGGTGCTGCCTGCCATGGAGGCTCTGGGGGAATTCACGTCTCTCATCTCCGGCACCGTTTGCCCTCCTTCCCCCTTTGACCTCCTGCCACCTCCGACCACCGTGGGTTTCCTAAAGCTGTCCCGGCCCTGCTGCTACGTGTTCCCTGCCGGCCGTGGCGACTGTGCCTTCTTTGCCGTCAACGGGTTCACGGTGCTGGTGGACGGAGGCTCAGACTCTCAGGCCTGTTTCTGGAAGCTGGTCCGCCACCTCGACCGAGTTGATGCCGTTTTATTGACACACGTCGGGACGGAGAACCTCCCCGGTGTCGTCTCTTTCCTGGAGAGGAAGGTGGCCGAGGTGGAGCTGAGCACTGATGTCAAAGGTGAGATAATAACTTTATTTCAGGCAATAATGAAAAAAAAATTCTCTTTATTGGCTTGCTCTGGGTTTCTGTCTTTACACTCTTTTCTCTGTGCAGATGATTTATCCAAGAGGCTCATCTCTCCAGAGCTTGGAGTTGTGTTCTTTAACGCCCCCAGCAGGTTGCAGATGGAACAACAGCTTTGTGAGTGTTGCGTTAAAATCTGCACTCATATAACACAAAAGATTTACAGCAATGAACAAACGTTTACATAAAGACCATGTAGATCATGGCTGTCTTGGATCTACAGGGACTCCTACAACTCTTCATTTCCTATGATGGCATCCCTGACACATTTGTCATAAAAAGAAAGAAAGAAAGAAAGAAAGAAAGAAAGAAAGAAAGAAAGAAAGAAAGAAAGAAAGAAAGAAAGAATGTATTTTTGATTATAGATTGATTATAGGACTTCTGGAAATATAACAAAACTTGAATTTTTGAGTTTTGGTGAATTCGAAAGTTGCGTCAATCAGATTTTCTTAGTTTTTCTTATTATCCCACCTTCTTATGGGTGATTACGACTGACTACAGTTGCTGACTCCTCTGAGGAAGTTAAATAGGGCCCATTTGACACATTCGTCAGACTCTGCCACAAACACTATAGTGGGAAAGTCTAAGAAGCTTAGATCTGCTCCCAAAATCAACTTTGCAAGCAATTTTTTGTAAGTTTAAAACGCTGTGCTCAGGAAGAAAACACAAACTTTTCAAAGACATCTGTTCAGGGTGGCCGAGAGTTAAACAAAAATCCCTTAAAAGCAGGTCTGCAATAAGTTAGAAACTGCTGGACCACAGCTGTCCACAGTCAAGCGTGTTTTACATCGTCATGAGCTGAGAAGCTGCCGTGAAACACACAAACCCTTCCACTAGAAATGACAGCTTAAGGCTTGTCTGGAGTTCGTTGCTAATCACATGGACAAAGAAAAAGCCTTCTGGAGGAAAGTTTTGTGGTCAAATATTGAGCCACAATGACCAGAAATATGCTTGAGGTGAGGCCTTTAACCCCCAAAACACCAAAAATACCCACAAGCATGGAGATGGTATTATTATACTCTGGTGCTGTTTTGCAGTTGACCTAAGTAGACCTAAGTAAAGTAAAAGGAATAATAAAGAAGGACGATTACCTCCACATTCCTCAGTAAAGCCTAAAATCATTGGCCAGGAGGTTGGGTCTTGGATGCAGTTGAGTGTTCCAACAAGACAATGACCCCAAACATAAACAACATTATTGAATTTATAAATAAAGTATTTTTCATTTCATTTTCATTCATAATAATAAATAATTGATCAGATTTATGTAGCGCTTTTCTAGACACTCAAAGACGCTTTACACTGTCAACTATTCATTCACATTCATTCTGGTGGTGGTAGCTACGATTGTAGCCACAGCTGACTGACAGAGGCTGCCATTCTGCCCCTCCGACCACCACCTCAAACAATCCATTCATACACATTCACACTAGGCAAGGTGGGTGAAGTTTCTTGCCTAAGGACACAACGACCACGAAACAGGTTACAGGGCAGAATCGAACCGCCGACCTTCCGATCATCGACCGACTCGCTCTACCACCTGAGCCACAGCCGCCCGAACATACGTCAAAAGTGGTAAAGACATGGCTAAATCAGGCTAGACTTAAGGTTTTAGACTGCCCTCCCCAAAGTCCTGGCTTAAACCACATTCAAGTCTCTGTTAGAAATCCAACAAATTTAGTTAAACTGCATAGATTCTTACAGGAGGAGTGGTAAAAATAAATAAATACAACCAAAAGTTTGGCTGGCTCCCAAAAGCACCTAAATAAAGTGGAAATGGGCAAAGGACATTCAAATATTAGCATTGCTGTCTGCATATTTTTGATCCAGCAGATTTTGTTAGATTTCCAGAATGCCTTGAATAAATCTATTAAAAAGAACTAAAATGCATGATTGTTTGTTTTTTTTGTAACTAGGACACAGGTGTTTCAATGATTCCAACACAGAAAATTAAGAGTTGTGGGAGACACTGGAAACTCAAGACTGTTACGGTATACATTATCTTTGTGAGCGTACTTTTGTTCATGAGTGTAAATGAACAGAGAACATCAAATCCAACCAGCTGCACCATCCTCTTGCATCTGATTTGGTAATTATAAAAAGTAATATGAGTTACTGGTGATATAACTTGTCTTTTTGATCTTGTCAGGTGTGGACAATGTATTGAAGAGCACACACCAGGCGTCCGTAACCCTACAGTTGCTAAAGAAGTTAGACATCAGGCCACAGCCGATGTTTCGACCTCAAGGAGTGCCTATTGAGTCGCTGACCCTGTTCCAAAAGATGGGAGTGGGACAGCTGGATTTATACATCCTCACCCCAGGCAAAAACAGCCAAGAGTACCAGACATTCATGCAAAACTGGCCTGACGGAGTGTCATCAGCATCTAAATCCCAAACTCTCCCTCTCACCGCTTTGGCCTCAGTGTCTGCCCTGCTTGTGTGGCATCCAGCATGTCCTCAAGAGAAGGTGGTCAGGGTGCTGTTTCCTGGCGTCACCCCCCAGGCGAAGCTGCTGCAGGGGCTGGAGAAGCTGAAGGGGCTGGCCTTCCTCCAGAAGCCCACAGTGACTACTGGAGACTTAGAGAGGCTGGGGGAAGACAGGAAGACCAAGAGGACAGAGAGCCAGGACAGCGGCAAGTCGCAGGGGAAGGAGGGGACACCCAAACATGGGAAAGAGCGAGGAGGAGTTAAAGATGAAGGGAAGGATGTATCGTTGAAGGAAAAAGGGAAATCGTTGAATGGAGTTGCTACAAGGGATACTGATAAAACCAAAATCAAAGAGGCAGGCATGAAGCACAAAGCCGCATTATCAGAGAAGAACACTTCAAAAAAAGCAGGAGGGAAAGACGGGAAAAAAGAGAAGCCAGGCAACAAAGAGGAGAACGGTGTTACAAAGAACGATCAGGCGAAGAAGAACGGCGTCCCATCCAAACCAAAGAATGAAAACAAAACGAAGCTCAAGAAGGAAGCAAAAAATGACTCGAAAACGGGAGAGAAGAAAACACGAAAGCCATCCGGAAAGGAGGCAAATGATGGCAAGAAGGTCAGCGCAAATACCGAACTGCCAAATAACCACTCAACAAAATCGGATGCTGGGGCTGTGTTAAAAATCCCAGAGCAGGAGAGTCAAAAAACAGAGAAAGAGTCTGAGGAGAACCCCTGTGAATCCAAAATTTCTACCCCTGAGGATATGACAGCTGATTTTCTCAGGCTCCGGGAGGAAACCGAAGTAGAGGAGGTGCAGGTGGAAACAGCAGATAAAGACGAGCAGAAAAACAGCGAGTCAGGAAATGAAAAGAGCCTTGGAGGCCCGAGTGAGGATACGTGTAATGAAACGGCTGCAGGATCGGTGGAAAAAGAAGCAGGTGGTTCAGGGAAAATGGAAGAAGAGAGTGGTGATAATGGACATATGTCTGGGAGTGGTGAGAAAGCTGACGTGGAGCTGAAGAAACAGCTTGTAGATCAGCCAGGAAATACTGCCAAGCCTGCAAGGGTTGTAGGTTTCCCATCTCCCTTTAACAAGGCGCCAAAGGACGAGCCGCTGGACTTAACCCCGACGGAGTACACTCTTCTGGACGGGGCTCTGAGAAACAGCCCTCCTTCACAGTCCTCACCAGGAAAGCTGGCCCCGAACAGTCCCGACGAGGAGACTGTGGAACAGGCCTCCCCGGACTCACGGCCCAACAGCGCCGGCCACACTCCCTACTGTCTGTCCCCAGATGATGTGTGGTGCAACAGGGCCACTCTGAGCAGGCTACAGGCCCAGATGAGTGACTCAGATTCAGGTGATGTCAACCACCCAAATGGGTCTTCACAGCAAAATGAGGGGCTGCCATGTCAGCCCAAAAGTACCCCAGAGAGCCACTCAAACCCCAGAGAGAAGCACATAAGTTTCCTTTCTTTAGGTTCATTTAAAGACGTATCTTCAGACCCCTCTCCGTCTGTGGCCACCACCACCACCACGACACACTCCATGCCAGCAGAGGTGAGCTCGCCTCAGTCCACAGAAGTCGACGAGTCGCTGTCCATGTCCTTCGAGCAGGGACCGACCACTGTGAGCCAGAGAGAGGGAGACGACAGCGTCTATCACTCCCACTCCAACGGAGGCCATTTTGTAGGAATGTCTTTACAGATGAAGAAGCCTCCCAGATCTTTAGGCTCTGAGATGGGCCGACCTCTGGCTCCGAACACACTTCATTTAGAGGCGTCTGCTCACGATGTAGACCTCTGTCTGGTTTCTCCTTGTGAATTCAAGCATTTCAAACCACCTGACTCCAGCTCAGGGGCCAGCGAGGCCTCCAGGGGAGCTCCGCATCAGCACGGCAACAACAACAACAACCCCAAGGACACGTCGCCCAGTGAATCGAACGCGCCCGCCTGCACAGAGGACTGTCCGTCCACCACAGCAGATGGAGCTCTGGACTCGGATGAGGAGGATTCGTGCAGCGAGCCGTCGAACTCCCCGCACGAGCTTCGCGGCAGTCAAGCTCTGCCCCCGGACCCTCCTCCGGCCCCCCTCAGGGACAGTCCTCCCCTGCCTCCACATCCTGACGCCTCCATGCCAGTTCCTCAGTCTGACTCCGATGCTCACGGGAAAAGAGTAAAAACTGCAGGCACACGAGGGAAAAAGATGTCAGGGGTGAGTTTTTTTGTGTTAAAACTGTGTCTAGGCCCATTTTTAGATGATTTGTTGGTTTATAAATTGTTCAGGGGGAAAAAAAAAAGTCAATCGAAGGAGGATTTCAACTTTTTTTTTTTCTCTTTTGCACACTTAAATTGCACGTTAAATTTTTTGCAAAAAATGTCCTGTTCTCGAGAAGGCTGCTGGAGTGAAGGGTGCTGAGCAGTTTGAGAAAAATAATTTAATTTACATTAAATTCATGCCAGATAAATCCCACTTAAGATAACCAAGAACTAGACAGCTGAAGTCCAACTGTGTGGCTCAGTCTTGGCCACGGCTGAGAGGTTTTATCTAGTTTAGGGAAGTAAAAGCAACTCAAATGATGATCACAGATATAATATGAAAACATATGTGACATTTTAAAACAGATTTGCTTTGGTTTGAAACGTGGTTTTCTCCTTTACATGCACCTTTTTATGCAAAACAATGTCAGTAAAGCAAACGAAACTTAAAAATGGATTCCCTACATAAGCGAAACTATTCTTTTATGATGTCGGCAAGAAAACGTGTTTTATCACCACAGCTGTGATGTAAATATTGTATTTCAGCACTATTGTTGTCCTTACTTGTGTAATTCCAAGTAATGATTCATAAATATTCATAAAAGTCATCCACATGCAAAAAAAATAACCTTTTAAGCTCCACTTTTTAAAATTATAACCTATAATAAATCTTAAGGCAAACACAATTTATTTTGAAGACATTTGTTCAAATTTTGTGTAATATAATTCTGCTTTTTTTTTTTTTTTTTTTAATCACCAGGTTATTGAAGGCCCCCAGAAACTCAGCTCAGGGAAAAGCAGGACAGGAAGCCAAAGTGGAGTCACAAAGGGGAACGCGTCTTCTAC